TATCAAAGGCAGCAACTCTGTCCTTGCTGCAGTCCCAGCCCACTGAGAGAAGGAGGTTTAAAGGACAGAGGTATAACACCAAGAGATTTGTTATAAGTTGCCCCCTTAATTAGAAGAACCTGATCTCCTTCTACGACAAAGTGACGCGCTGGGTGGATGAGGGAAAGGCTGTGGATGTGGTCTACCTTGACTTCAGCAAGGCTTTTGACACCGTCTCCCACAGCATTCTCCTCAAGAAACTGGCTGCTCTTGGCTTGGACTGGCGCACGCTTCGTTGGGTTAGAAACTGGCTGGATAGCCAGGCCCAAAGAGTTGTGGTAAATGGAGCCAAGTCCAGTTGGAGGCCAGTCACTAGTGGCATCCCCCAGGGCTCGGTGCTGGGGCCGGTCCTCTTTAACATCTTCATCAATGATCTGGATGACGGCATTGAGTGCACCCTCAGTAAGTTTGCAGATGACACCAAGCTAGGTGCGTGTGTCGATCTGCTCGAGGGTAGGAAGGCTCTGCAGGAGGATCTGGATAGGCTGCACCGATGGGCTGAGGTCAACTGCATGAAGTTCAACAAGGCCAAGTGCCGGGTCCTGCACCTGGGGCGCAATAACCCCAAGCAGAACTACAGGCTGGGAGAGGAATGGTTGGAGAGCTGCCAGGCAGAGAAGGACCTGGGAGTGATGGTGGACAGTCGGCTGAATATGAGCCAGCAGTGTGCTCAGGTGGCCAAGAAGGCCAACGGCATCCTGGCTTGTATCAGAAACACTGTGACCAGCAGGGCTAGGGAGGTGATCGTCCCCCTGTACTCGGCTCTGGTGAGGCCGCACCTCGAGTACTGTGTTCAGTTTTGGGCCCCTCGCTACAAGAAGGACATCGAGGTGCTTGAGCGGGTCCAAAGAAGGGTGACGAAGCTGGTGAGGGGCCTGGAGAGCAAGTCCTATGAGGAGCGGCTGAAGGAGCTGGGCTTGTTCAGCCTAGAGAAGAGGAGGCTCAGGGGTGACCTTATTGCTCTGTATAAGTACATTAAAGGAGGCTGTAGCGAGGTGGGGGTTGGCCTGTTCTCCCATGTGCCTGGTGACAGGACGAGGGGGAATGGGCTAAAGTTACGCCAGGGGAGTTTTAGGTTAGATGTTAGGAAGAATTTCTTTACTGAAAGGGTTGTTAGGCACTGGAACGGGCTGCCCAGGGAGGTGGTGGAGTCACCATCCCTGGAAGTCTTCAAAAGACGTTTAGATGTAGAGCTTAGGGATATGGTTTAGTGGGGACTGTTAGTGTTAGGTCAGAGGTTGGACTCGATGATCTTGAGGTCTCTTCCAACCTAGAAATTCTGTGATTCTGTGATTCTGTAATTCCAAGTCATAGGGTATACCATATAGCATTTCAAAAGGAGAAATTCCTACATCAGTTCTGGGCTGTGTCCATATGTTTAACAGTGCAAGGGGTAAGCATTTTAGCCAAGAAGCCTTAGTTTCCAGCACAAGTTTTGTTAGTTGTTTCTTAATTTCACCATTCATTCACTCTTCCTTTCCAGAAGAGGAGGGGTGCCAGGGGCTGTGAAAATCCCACTCAATCTCTAAGGCCTGCTTTGATCCTTGCAGTAAAGCTTTACACCCATTCAGTCACGTGGTCAATTAGGACAAACAAGTAACTCAGTAAAGTCTACCTGTATACTTTGGAAAGGTCAAAGCCCTGGCTCCCGTCCCCCTCTAGATGGGTTACAGAAGGCCTTTTTATTTACCTTTTGACATATAGTACATCCTCTGCATGTGTGCTTCTCTAAAGTATATATTCCTACACAGACATGCTTTCTTAGAACAACATCACACATTGCTTGCACCTCCCAATGACTCTTCTGATGTAAAACAGTTAATATTTGCCTCATTATCACTTTATACAGCATTTCTCTCCCATCAGGGAGTATCAATTTTCCTTAAAATGATCCACATATTTGTAACATTAATACCTCCTTGGGAGGTTGTAATTGTTCCAAAATCTTTTTTAGAATTTACCCAAATAGATAGGTGGCCCTGTAAACCCCTGAGGTAAAACTGTCCACCTATATTGTTGCTTCCGCCCCCATTTCAGGGTCTTTCCAGTCAGAGGTGAATATACATGTATGTTTGCTCTCAGGGCCAGAGAGCACTCCATTAATAACACTGTTACTCCAGTCTAACAATTTACTAGTTGAATGTCCAATTTAATCATCAAATCCCTTCCCAACAAGTTAGTCCCTGCCTTGGATACATACAGTAATTGCCCAATGATCATTTTATCCCCTAGTCTCAGCTTGGTATCCCCCAAAAGTGGCACTGTTATCCCAGTCCCTTCTACCCCCATCACATTTAGGGTTTCATTAGTTAATTTAATCCCTGATACTTTACAAGTAACAGCAGTTGGGAGAGCGAGAAACCCCCCCGCAGACACCAAAGTCAGTGCAGAAGGAGGGGGAGGAGGCGCTTCAGGTGCTGGAGCTGAAGCCCCCCTGCGGCCGCTGGAGAGGCCCCTGGTGGAGCAGACTGTTCCCCCCTCCCCGATGCTTGGGAAACTGAACAAACACCACAGCAAATATGCAAATATACCAAAACTTCTAGACTGTTACTTAGATAATGCCTACATCACCTTTCCCTGCTCATTCAACTTCGAATACCTTTAACACTTTCAACAAACCTTTTAACACTTCCTTTATCTCTCTCTAGCCTTTACTTTTCTAATGCCGACATCAAAGGCTCAGTCAGGGGCCAACTTAATTCCGTACCTTTTCCCTCCAAGATGCTGAAACAACATCAATATACAACATTTCATCCTGTTTTCTTTCTTTCCACAAAAACAACATTGACTGTAATATGGTGTTATAATTAGTAGTTCCATTTAGGAGCCACTCCGCTCCATCCTCTAGTTTATAAAGTGGCCACCACTGATTACAATATTTAATAAGGGTTCTTTTACTCTCTGTACCCTCTTACTCCACTATATCCCTCCAATGTGTTAGTATACATCCTAGGGGGCTTTTCCTCGGGATTTCTTTGCTTTGAACTTTTCCTATTGTAATCTGAAGTGGTTAATATTCCACCGTTTTCCTAGAAGCTCTTTACTAGTCAATCCCAATCCCTCCAAAATCCACAATATATAGATACACAAGTAAAATCAGACCACTGTAAATTAACTGCCTGTAGACAATTACACTGGGAACATTTAAACCTGATGAGCCGATAATATGCCTGGGAAAATTTTGTTCCCTTAAACATACACCTCAATGGCAGTTCTTATATTTTCATATTTACATATTAACTTATGTATAAAAGAACACTTTAACAAAAATGCCCAGGCTTTTATATATACAATATACAATGTACAGTTATTATTCCAGTTACAATTATTCCTCAGCAGCTGGAAACATTGTGCCAGTTGCCATTAAAGCTCGCTTACCCTCCTCCTGTCTCTTTCTTAAAATCTCGGACGTCCCCGGAGTTAATGAGGATGGCCACATATTCCTAGTCACTGGTCACTGAATGCTAGAGTCAGAGTCGCTATCAGAGTCTCCCTGGGGTTGCGGATTAGGAAGCCCAGGATTCGGAGGGGCTGCAGGTGGTGGTGGTGAAATATAGGGAGACAGTGGGGCTGGGATCTCTAATTCTCGGTTTTTCTTCTGCCTCCCATCCCCTCCTTTTTCTTTTAGAGGATATAAATTGGCTCGAGTTTCCAAGATGATCCACAAATGTCCATATTCACTTTCTTCCAAACTAAAAGGTTCCTTTGAGTTTACATAAATATTTAGGGCCTGGCAAACCCAATCTTCAAAGGACCCAAATACAGGCCAGTAAAGGTGGTCTCCTCGAATCTGTTTACCACCCCAAACTTCAACACAATAATGTATCATTTTTACTTTATTGCTTCCCTGCCTAAAAGGGGAATCCTGCCAATTTTTAATCATTAATCCCAGGGTAACCTAACATCAGACGTTACCCTGCCCATGGGACCAGAAGGCTTACTCTTCTTCTGTCCCATCTTCTGGAGCGCCTTCACACACACACACACAAATCGCTTCCCCCTTTTCGTGGCCCAGTCCCTCGCGGGATGTGGGAACCGCACTACCGAGGGGTCCGCACTCGCTTCGTCCGCAATTGGACGTCTCACAACGCTACGCTCCAGGATACCCAACCCCAACCGAACGGATCACCGGCCTATACTTACTCACTCCTGAGTCTTTGTTCGGTCTTCGTGCACAAAGATTACTAGGGGTTGCCGGCTTTATTTGCTTGCTGCCGAATTTAGGGTTTGTCGGTGAAGGATTTGAATGAAAGTAGTCCTAGCGAAGGCCACTGAAATCAGCGGGGCGCCCCCTCCGAAGGTCTTTCAATCAGATTGCCTTCATCCGAGTCACGGCACCAAATTTGTTATAAGTTGCCCCCTTAATTAATTTTCAGAGAGCATTGCATTAATAATATAAAGGAATTTATTGAGTAAGCAACAGCAAGCAAAACAGCGCTGGGCGGCCGGGGAGTCTCGGCTCCGCCAACGGCGCGCACCTCACCCCCCCCAGGGTCCCTTTTTATATCTTGGTAATTCCGGGATTACGCAGCACATCCTGGTATATTCTGCGACTGCGCACACTGTTGCTAGGGGGTCGTCTCTGTCCCTCTGGTGGTCGTGAAGATGAAGGCCGTAGTCTTCCTTGGCGTTGTGGTTCAACTTCTTTCTTTATTTGGTCATGTTGGCCCAGCGTGAGACAGGAAGGCAAGATGTTGATACACTAGTTTAACAACTTATCAGGAGATGGTTACATGAACTTTGCAGCAGTGTTATTTTGAACAAAAGAGGCTACTGAGATGCAGAAGGAGAGAAGGGGAGAGGGTTCTCTTTTTTGTTACATTAAGCAAAGGAATTTTCATAGTGTCTAGCCAAGTATTATACAGCTCCTTACTTCAGCAGAGAGTTTTCACAACTCCCGTTCCTCAAACAGAACTCCTTGTTTTTACAAAAGACAATGAACAAACATTTATTGTGTATTACAGATTGATGCTGATGGGAGAACAAAACAGCAAGGTCTTTAGGAGAGGCATATCTACTGAAGAAACTCATGGTACATGCAGGTAATTCCTGTAGGATGCTGGTGTGCTGAACTGGCATTTCACATGTCTCTTACTTGTGCACTGGAGTCTCAACATACTCATCTTATGTGGGCCTAGATCTTGCATTTGAACTTTGTCATCTATGCTTTGAGCCCTCTTCTACAGCAAATCAAGATCATGTTGCTTTGACACAATATTGTCATTCTTAAATATGTATGCTGTATTTTCTTGAGCAGGATTGAGAAGGGAGGTTTCAAAATATTAATTTCAGTTATTTAGTGTTGTGTTTTAAAAGTTCCCATGGAAGAATGTTGATAGATATAACATATTTTTCCATCCAAGATATTTCAAATCTGCATGAGGAACTTGCAAATAAACTGAGCTTGGCAAATGGCCCTCCATATGAGAGATATGTGTATTCAAAAGCACGTATCAAATGTGTGTCTGAACTCCAAGAACACCCCTCTCCTGGTATGCCATTTATTCTGGACGTATCTTGGAATTTAAGATTGTGTTTGAGAGAACTTCTAAGAAGATAATGCAGCATAAAATTTAAGATTTTATGTTAAAAAACAAACAAACAAGCAAAAACTAAAAACACAACCACTGTTGAGGTATTTAAAAGTTAAAGTGCTCCAAGAATGTTGATTTCCCTAATTTTTCAGGTGTTTTGATCTCTTCTCCCCCATTTTTTCCACTAGCTATGATCACAACTATGAGAATATACCCAATGTCACAAGGGCTTAGGCACTGGCTGCCACCTGCTATGCTTAGAAATCTTCTCATGGGCAAAATGTAAACAGAAAATAGAATAATTTTTTTCTAGTAAGTGAGATTTCTATAGTCTCATCAAATAATTATTATTAGTCTAGATCTAATAATTACAGATGAAGAAAGGGGCAATATATGAATACTACTACATAAATAAATTATCAATAATAATAGTTGCCTGCACTTTTCCTAATATCCAATTCTGCTCTGGGTGTTATGCTCAGCCTTCCTCTGCCACTCGGGGTCCTAATGTTACAGCTTCAGTCTGCTGGGGTCTTTATCGCAAGTTGTCAGCATCCACAGTTACTTTCATGAGGAGTAAGTACATAGTTGAGTAATGAGTTGAGTCTTTTGTCAGGAGTAAGTACATGCTTTTTCCTCATTCCAGGTTCCACTTCAGGTCACTTGCTATTTGTTTACTAAGACACTTTTACACCTTGTTCTTTCTTCACTGGTCTGCAACTTCACCATTGCATCTGAATTTAGTAACCCCAGTGTGTTTCACAAAAGTTTGATGCTTGTTCTTTATTATCCTTAGAAACAGTTTTGTTGAGCTCTGGGACAGTTCTTTGTCATGTGGCAATCAAATAGCTGTTTCTGGCCTTGGAATCTCCTGTGCCCCATCTCTTGCCATCCTGCACCTGTGCTCAGCGCCACATCCTGTATCCTGCTTCTCAAGGTATCTGCTTTCCTACCAGAGCTGTATTTCCCTACTCCATTATGGTACAGGCAGAAATATCTCATGATGCACATGACGCAGAAAACTTGCTTGTTGTTAATGTCTGTATAAAGCCATGGTTGCACTGCATGAAGATAAACAAAGTGAAATAAACTATCCACAGCCACCTGGCCATTAGAAAAATTGCTATTAGAAGTCCCTTGACCTGCTGTCAACACTCTTCCTAATACAGCTCAAGATATCATTGGCCTTCTTGGCCACAAGGGCATAATGCTGGCTCATGGTTAACTTGCTGTCCACCAGGACTCCCAGGTCCTCCTCCACAAGGCTGTTTTCCAGTAGGTCAGCTCCCAACCTGTAATGGTGCATGGGGTTATTCTGCCCTAGGTGCAGAAGCCTGCATTTGCCCTTGTTGAACTTAATGAGGTTCTTCTCTGCCCAATGCTCCAGCCAGTCCAGGTCTCTCTGAATGGTAGCACAGTCCTCTGGTGTGTCAGTTTGTCAGCTACTCTTCTCAGTTTTGTGTCATCCACATACTTGCTGAGGGTTAACTCTGTTTCATCATCCAAATCATTGATGAATAAGTTGAACAGTACAGTCCTGTACCTCTAGTGAGAGAGGGAGTTAGGAGAATACAATAAATCACTAACCTTTTAGCAAAAGAATTTACTAACTTTTAGAAAAGGTGGAACTGAGAGAGGAAGTTAAGGGAATCTTATCAAGTAGAGATAGAGTGGTAGACAGCATGAAACTAGGATGCTCAAATTAATTAAATCAAGAAGCCTTGGGCCCCTTTACCAAGGTCAGTCTTCTAATAAGAGTGTGAGCCTGTCTTAAGAAACTGTTCCTGCGGATGGACAAGAACCAAGAAGCAACTGAGTCTGCGCAGAGACAAGAGGTCAACTAGCAGTGATGAGGAAGAGTCATCAATCTTCATCCCCATGACCACCAAAGACTACCACCAGAATACACTGCGCAAGCACAGATGGGAGAAGTTTATGGAAATGACTCCTTGGAATTGATTTTAATATGAAGCGGGGACAGGTTATGAATATGTATAGGCATAGTGTGAAACTTCATGCGTATGTAACTCTTTGCTGCATATAACCATGGCAAGTTGCCACGTCAGGTGTGCACGATTTCGGTGGGGCTACCCCCCCCCCCCCGTGTTCCCCAGCACTGAATAAACATACCTGCTTTACAATCTTACTAATTGTGGAGTCCATTTTCCGCATGCCACTAGGTTTGATTGTTGAACAGTGTAGTGAGCTGGGAACTTTTTTTTTTTTTTAGTGGTGTTTTTGTTTGTTTGTTTGTTTGCTTTGATCCATTTTGTTTTGTTTTGTGATTTGTTTGTTTTTTTTTTTGGTTTTAGCAAATTAGTCTTCAGATGGGTCAGCTGCACCTGATCATTCAGCTGTCCAAGTGCTAGAGATGGCATGAAAGTCAGCAGGAATGTACTTCTTGGGGAAGGAAGCACCACAGGATCATGGGCTGCGTTAGGTTAGAAGGGACGTCTGGAGGTCATCCTGCCCAAACACCTGCTTAAGCAGGGACACCTGGACCCAGGACCTTGTCCAGATGGCTTTTGACCATCTCCAAGGAGACTCCACAGCCTCCACAACTGGCAGCCTGTTCCAGTGCTCAGTCACCGGCACAGCACACAAGTGCTTCCTGATGGTCAGAGGGAACGTCTTGTGTTTCGGTTTGTGCCCATTGCCTCTTGTCCCAGTGTTGGGCACCACTGAAAAGAATCTGGTTCTCTCAGCCTTTCTTCATACAAGAGATGTTCAACTTGGACTCAGTCCCAACAGGACTCCCACGGCCTTCTCTGCCAGGCTGCTTTCCAGCTGGGTGCCCCAGCCTGTCCTGGGGCCTGGGGTTGTTCCTCTCCAGGGCAGGACTTTGTGCTTCTCCTTGCTGAACTGCAGAAGGTTCCTGTCACCCATTTCTCTAGCCCGGCCAGGTCCTTTGCTCAACACCTCCATCATGCTCCTCACTTGTTACCTGCTCACATTTCTACTCACTCAAGCTGTTTAGAAACTGCAGTGAGTCATGCAGATTTCCCATCTAATCGGGACTATTGAAGTTAACAGTCTGTTGCAATATTGTGTCTATGTTGACTGCCCAATTCTTACTGTCATGTCAAATTTGACAAAAGCAATATAGCTATTAAAACTCCAATTGTGTAGAAACCTGTCGAGAATCTACCACATATATGTAATTATATCTTTTCTTTGTCTCAGATGCCAACAGTTGCCAGAGCTTTGCCAAAGTTTTTATTATGACATAGTTCCTGTTACCATTTTATTAGATTTTTAAAAGCTGAAAAAATAGTCGCATGATAATGTCATACTTGCCCAGAAAAATATATATATATATATCTCTATATATATCCATATATATCTAGGATATTTTGCTGTGACTTTTGTACAATTGTACCAGTGTCTGTTATTTATTTATTTATTTATTTATTTATTTATTCTTATTTTGCATTTGTATTTGTAATGGCCAGCATTCCAGGGCTGAAAATGTAAGGGCCTTACAATACCAGCAGGAACTGCTGAGAAATTTCTGTAACAACTAGTCTGAGAAGGTGAGATATCTGAATCCTATCAGGCTTTATACTTCAAACTACTTGTGTGTGTATGTGGTGGCTTTACTTTGTCAGGCAGCTGAACTCCACCACAACCGCTCTCTCACTCCCCCTCCTCAGAAGAGGAGGGGAAGAAGAAAAGGAAAGAAACAACTCATGGGTTGAGATTAGGATATTTTAATTAAAGGAAAAAATAATTATTAAGGAAAAAAATATTATTAATTAGATATTTTAACTGAAGGGAAAAAAAAGGAAAGGGGAAAAGGGCGAAAAAACAAGTAAAGGCTATGTGGAAGTGCAGAGGAAAGAAATTACTCTCTACTTCTCACAAATGAGCAATGCTTGATGCAGGGGCTTGAAGCAGGGCCTCAATGCACATAGCCATTGTTTGGGAGGACAGACGTTTTCACAATGGGAGCCCACCCCTCCACTCTTCTTCCATTTTCCACCTTTTATTGCTGAGTCTGACATCATACGGTATGAAATATCCCTTTGGTTGCCTTAGGTCAGCTGCCCTGGTGATGTGCCTTCCCTACCTCTTGCCCACCCCCAGCCTGCTGGCTCTCTGGGGGTTAGAGGGAGTCCTGATGCTGTGCCAGCACTGCTCAGCAATAGACACCACACTGTTGTGATACCACTGCTGTTCTAGCTACAAGTGCAGAGCACAGCACTGTGTGGGCTGCTGCAGGGAAAGTTAACTCCATCCCAGCCAGACCCGGTACAGTGTGCCAGTTTGATGTGGCACGTCATGTCAGCATTGCAGCACATTTAAGTGAATATGCTCTCCTGCAGTATTTAAACTTGCCTTGACCAAAACATCCCAAGAGTAGCAGTGGGAAGCAACTCCTACCCCAGCAGGCCTGTAACAGGGGAACTCCTCAGAAGTGGGGCCCTGGCTGGCGGAGGTGGGTTGCTGAGCTGGGCCCCGCACTCAGGCATGCCAAGCTGGAGGGAGAGACTTATCTGAAGAATCATAGAATCATCAAATGGCTTGTTTTGGAAGGGACCTCAAAGATAACCTAGTTCCACCCCCCCTGCCATAGGCAGGGATGCCACCGACTAGATCAGGTTGCTCAGGGCCTCATCTAACCTGGCCTTAAACACCTCCAGGATTGGGGAATCTACAACCTCTCTGAGCAGCCTGTTCCAGTGCCTCACCACCCTCTGAGTGAAAAATTTCCTTCTAACCTCTAATCTAAATCTCCCCTCTTTTAGTTTAAAACCATTCCCCCTTGTTCTGTCATTATCTACCTGAGTAAAGAGTCCTTCTCCATCTTTTTTATAAGACAACTTTAAGTACTGAAAAGCTGCAATGAGGTCACCCCTGGAGCCATATCTTCTGAAGGCTGAACCATCCCAGCTCTCTCAGCCTTTCTTCATAGGAGAGATGCTCCAGCCCCTTTATCATCTTTGTGGCCCTCCCCTGGACTTGCTTGAACAGCCCCACATCCTTCTTGTGCTGGAGGCTCTAGACCTGGACACAGTACTCCAAGTGGGTCCTCACGAGTGCAGGGTAGACAGGGGCAGTCCCCTCCCTCAATCTGCTGCCCACTCTTCTTTTAATGCAGCCCAGGATGCAGTTGGCCTTCTGGGCTGCAAGCGTGTACTGCTGGCTCATGCTGAGCTCAAAAGCTCATGCTGAGCTTTTCATCCATCAGAACACCCAGGTCCTTCTCTGCGGGGCTGCTCTCAGTGAGTTCTTCTCCTAGCCTGTTGCTCATGTCCAGGATTGCCCCATCCCAGGTGCATCACCCTGCATTTAGACTTGCTGAACCTCATCAGGTTCACATGGGCCCACTTCTCCAGCCTGTCCAGGTCCCTTTGGATGGCATCCCTTCCTTCTGTTGCATCAACTGTACCACTCGGTTTGGTGTCATCTGCAAATTTGCTGAGGGTGCACTTGATCCCACTGTCTATATCATTGATAAAGATACTAAACAGCACCGGTCCAAGAACAGACCCCTGAGGGACACCACTTGTCACCGTCTTCCACTTGGACATACCACTACCCTCTGGGTGCGACCTTCAAGCCTTATCTGCTGAATGGTTCTCTCATCAAATCCAACTTTCTCCAATTTGGAGACCAGGATGTCATGTGGGACCATGTCAAAGGCCTTGCAGAAGTCCAAGTAGATGACATTGATCGGTCTTCCTTTATCAACTGATGCAGTCACTCCATCATAGAAAGCCACTAGATTGGTCAGGCACGATTTGCCCTTGTTGAAGCTCTGCTGGCTGTCTCGGATCACCTCTTTGTCTTGCAAGTGCCTTGACATTTTCCATGATCTTGCCAGGCATAGGGGTGAGGCTCACTGGTCTGTAGTTCCCCGGTTTCTCTTTTCTACCTTTTTTAAAAATGGGAGTGAAACATGAGAGACCCAGTGAGTGGGCCTCCGGTTAAATCATAGGATGGGGAAAGGTGGCAGCGGGGCAAGAGGCTGCAACTCAGGTGAGGCCACAGCAGCTGCCTTGCAGTAGGACAAGGAGTGGCAGCAGTCCTATGAGAAATAAAAAATAAACCCAAGGAAGACTTCAAGAAGATACAGAGAGACCTGAAGTGGTGTTATGCAACTTCTACAGGATGCCAGGCAGTCTGGGAAAGGAGTTGGGTACTTGAATGCAAGTTGCTGCAAAGGTACTGACATGCCAGGTCTGTTGGAGATGTGGTAGAGGAACAAGGACCAGGGAGATGTGTGACCATAGCTAGCTGTGCTGCGCAGCATGATGTTGTGTGTTGGAAAGTATTTGGAGTAAAATCAGACTATCAATGTGAGCATGTCAGTGAGCAGCACAGCCCCACTGGTTGAAATCCCAAGGCACATCAAGTGCAGTTTGAGCAAAGTTGCATTGGACTGTGCTGCAAACTCTGACCTTTTATAAAAGCCTGAGCAATGTTTCATGTCCAGCTAGGCATGGAGCTGTGAAAGAAGATGGCTACTTTGCAATGGAGGACATCACACTGCTAGCGCCAACAGCATGCTTGGCCCCTGGCTTCTTGCAGGAGCAACACAATCCCCTCTGTGCTGCTCCCCTTCAGAAAGTGCAACTACATAAAGTGAAGTTTGTTTAACAGGTGCTGCTAAAAGGGGCTCATTTAGCTATTAACTCCTTGCATGCTGCATGCACACTGCCCAGAGACCTAAGAAAATGGCAGAACTGGTTGCCACAGACCAGGTGGGTTTCACAGAATCACAGAATTTCTAGGTTGGAAGAGACCTCAAGATCATCGAGTCCAACCTCTAACCTAACACTAACAGTCCCCACTAAACCATATCCCTAAGCTCTACATCTAAACGTCTTTTGAAGACTTCCAGGGATGGTGACTCCACCACCTCCCTGGGCAGCCCGTTCCAGTGCCTAACAACCCTTTCAGTAAAGAAATTCTTCCTAACATCTAACCTAAAACTCCCCTGGCGTAACTTTAGCCCATTCCCCCTCGTCCTGTCACCAGGCACATGGGAGAACAGGCCAACCCCCACCTCGCTACAGCCTCCTTTAATGTACTTATACAGAGCAATAAGGTCACCCCTGAGCCTCCTCTTCTCTAGGCTGAACAAGCCCAGCTCCTTCAGCCGCTCCTCATAGGACTTGCTCTCCAGGCCCCTCACCAGCTTCGTCACCCTTCTTTGGACCCGCTCAAGCACCTCGATGTCCTTCTTGTAGCGAGGGGCCCAAAACTGAACACAGTACTCGAGGTGCGGCCTCACCAGAGCCGAGTACAGGGGGACGATCACCTCCCTAGCTCTGCTGGTCACAGTGTTTCTGATACAAGCCAGGATGCCGTTGGCCTTCTTGGCCACCTGAGCACACTGCTGGCTCATATTCAGCCGACTGTCCACCATCACTCCCAGGTCCTTCTCTGCCTGGCAGCTCTCCAACCATTCCTCTCCCAGCCTGTAGTTCTGCTTGGGGTTATTGCGCCCCAGGTGCAGGACCCGGCACTTGGCCTTGTTGAACTTCATACAGTTGACCTCAGCCCATCGGTGCAGCCTATCCAGATCCTCCTGCAGAGCCTTCCTACCCTCGAGCAGATCGACACACGCACCTAGCTTGGTGTCATCTGCAAACTTACTGCAAACTTACTTTCCATGACGTTTTCACCAGATCCCACCACAAGCCACGCAGACAGGGCAGGCAGGAGGCTAGGGTGGGTGGTACCGGGTAGGTGGCTGCGAAATGGCAGTGATGCTTAGTGTGCTGGCAGCAGGGCGCAGCACCAGCTCACATCAAGAGAGAGAGAGGCCCACGGCTACGTGGTAGTGAGGCCCTAGCCGACAGCAGTGGTGTCCCCCTGAAGATGTCCGTTCCTTAGTAACGTGGTGGGCAGGAGCAGGGAAACAAGCAGCGAGAGGCAAAGGTTGGCAGTCGGCTCCTCACAGCTCTCACAGCCTTCAGCTCCGCGTATCAGGCTCCGTGGCGCGCAGCCCATCTTCTCGGCCAGCATCGCCAGCGGGCGGCTGTGGGGGCTTCTCTTCATCGCCAGCCGCGGGGGGGCTGCGGACACCGCGCTCGCGGGAGGCGCCCCAAGCCGCGGGCGGGCCGCAAGAGCGCCCCGAGGCCGATCCGGAGGCCGGCGGGAGAACGGGCCCTGCCGCAGCCCGGCCGGGGCGGAGCCGCCGCCGCTCGGCGCCCTCCGGCCGAGGGGCGGCGCCGCGGCCGCCACCGCCCCGTGTCTATGGTGAGGGGCCATGGCGGAGCGGCTGTGGGGCGCTGAGGCGGGCGGCGCCGTGTACCGCTCCCGCGACCCCGTGCGCAATCTGCGCCTCCGGTGAGCGCCCGGCGCGGCTCGGCCCGGCTCCGGGGGTTGCTCCCTCTCACTCTTCCTCCCTGTCCCCCCGCAGGGTCCGCATCCAGCGGGTCACGGCCGCCGGGCCCCTCCCGGCTCAGGCCTCGCCGCCGCCGCCGCCGCTCTCCACACCGCGCGGCCCCGAGCTCCTGGCGCTGGCCGCCCGCGCCTCGCCAGGTAAGTGGGGAGCCCCGCGGGGCGGCGCTCCCGGGCGCTGCCTGTGGTGACCGACCCCTTACCGCAGATGCCCGGCGGCCCCCGGACGAGGAAGAGGAGGCAGAGGTGGGGTGGCAGGAGAAGCTCTTCAGCCAGGTGGGTGTGCGGCGGCTGTTTCTCCTCGCTGTACCGACCGACGGCTCCCCTGTGTCGGGGCGAGCGGGGCCCCAGCAGGGGGACAGCTTTCAGGCAGATCTAGAGAGTGATGAGTTCTCTCCTTAGCATCTTCTTCTCCAGACTAAACGGCCCCAGTTCCCACAGCCACTCCTCATATGTCCTGTTTTCTAGTCTCTTTGCAAGCTCTGTTGCTCTTCTCTGGATGTGTTCCAGCAGCGCAGTATCCTTCTTGTAGTGGTCTTACCAGTACAGGGGGCTATCCCCTTGTTCGACTCAGTGATCTTGAAGGTCTTTTCTCCCTAGTCCTGCTGGCTATGCTGTTTCTGATGCCGGCCAGTCTGTTGTTAACCCTCTTGGCCACCCGGGCACACCACCAGCACCCCCAGGTCCTTTTCTGCTGGGCAGCTTTGCAGCCGCCCTTCTCCAAGCCTGTATTGCTGCACTGGGTTGTTGTGACCCAAGTGCAGCATTTTGGTGTCTCCACAAATCTCAGCTGAAAAACTTTGGCCCTGAGCTTGCTGATGAAATGCAACTTTTATGTTTTACCTGTGGTGCTCTCAGTTTGAGGTAGATCTTTATCAAAATGAGTCAGCCTGTCAAACTCACCTGGACCGGCAGTACCACAAGGAGATCCTGAAACTGGAGAAGGCTGGGGGTCGGAAGAACTATCGCATCTTCACCTACACTGATCATGACCGATTCACCAACCTAGAGGAGGTACCAGCTTTTTGTTTTGCATAATCTCTACAGCAGTATCTGTCAACAACACTACGCCCACTGCAGAGGGAATGTTTGTCATTTCTTGGCCATGGAGAAGCAAGCCATATATCTTGGGAGCAGGAGAACATACTGCTTCTGCAGGCAGCTTCACCTGGCATCCCAGACCCAGCATGAGGTCTCACTGTTTCAGTGCAATGGACAGGTTGGAGGGACTTGGCATTGTAGAGTTGCTCTGTTAGAAAAATGCTGGCTTGTTACCAACCAAGGTGAGAAGTCTGGACACAGAATACAGAATTACAAGGCACACATTTATTCATATGCATGAGGTGATTCATGCACAATGCTTTCTAGCAGTCTTGATTCATGCTGTCTTGATGGCCCAAGGATGGGAAGAGACCCCTTTATCCTGTTTACTGTTCAGCCTCACTGGCAGGAAATTGTGAGGGGCAGCATGACCCTGCCTGGAAAACTGGGGATGTTTAGATGGATGATTTGTAATGTAGCTGAGTGAAACTTAAAACAGCTTATGATCCAGTCATTCCTGGATTGATCTTGTAATAGTTGTGACCCCAAATATGGGGCGTGAGGTTTCAAGTGTATTTTAGAGGGGCTTAGGGTGCTAGGATCTTGGTTGTCTGCAGTTCTGCTTCTTTGATCATCCAAGTAGCAGAATAGCAAAGTACTTACCCCAAGGTTGGGCTGTCTCTGAACCTTGTGATGAGCAGGTGTCTTTTAGTTTGCTTACTGTATGAACAAGAAATGCCACTCATGAGCATAAAATGCAAACTAATATATATACATACATGCCGTATGCATACCAACAAAGCTAACACACATTCCTATTACAAGGACCAATCAGTAAAATAGTTAGGGAGGGAAACTTTCACCACATCTGTACATAACTTGCTGGATGGACTTCAGCTCTGCTTTTCCACAAGAGCAGTGAATCAACTCTATGGTCTTTTAGCAGTTTGTCCATGTATGTGTATGTAAATACCTGTTCTGTTCTCCAGGAGTGGAGATGTGTTTGAGAAAGAAGTCCTGTTGTATTTAAGCTGTTTCTATTCTGTTTCTCTCCTTCAGCACTGCCAGAAGGTAACTGACTCAGATCATGAGGTGCCGTCATATCTGGCAGAGAGGATGGCCAATGTGAGGAGGAGAAGACAAGACCGTAAACCAATGTGAGTGCAACCGGGTTGGAGCTTGCTAATGCAGGTTTCCTGTTGTCCCAGCTGCAGAGCAGCCTGGTCCGTGGAAGTTGGTGGCTTGAGCTGTGTTGCACTCAGAGTCTGGCAGTTTGACTCCTCATTGTGGGAGAGTTCATTGCTGGCTACCGCAGTGAGTTCTGTTGACAATAAGTTGTGCTTGTGTTGTTGACAGAGAGGCGAATTCTCTTAAGTCAAAAATAATCACCTGGGAGCCCTCAGAAGAATTTATAAAGAACAATCATGTGATTAACACTCCTGTTCAGACTATGTACGTCATGGGGGACTTGGGACCTTATGGGAAGTAAGTAAAATTCCCAAATGATCTTCATTTCCCAGAAACAAGCCCATCTCCTCTCCTTACTCACCTCTGTTTCTCTCAGTAGTTAAGGGGAGGGAATTCAAAGAGCACAGTAACTCAAGCTGCTGTTTTCTCTCTACTTCTTGGGAGGTATGGAATGTATCCCTCCAAAAGGCTTCTTAAACTAATGTAGTGAAGTATTGGTATATTTATTCCCTTATGTACCTCCATGTGCTTTTACCAGCTCTGCTGTTCCGGAGCAAGAAAATGTCCACGTGCTCTGTTTAGACTGTCTTTGTGTTTCTTGATGTCTTCCATTAGGCTTGGTCAAAGGGAATATGAACGTGTTCTTTGTACAATCAAGGTGGATGGCAGTGGGGTGATCACAGTGAAGCCTGACTTTACTGGCACCAAAGGAGCCTACTGGTGAGCGGGACAGGGCTGGTACCACATTTGGGACTGGTATGGAGGGCTGAAATTGCTGTCTCCTAATTACCCCTTAGGCAGTGAGTCTGCACTTAAATTGAGGGCTATTATTTAGGTTTATTCCAAAGGTTTGTAAGACAGGGTTATTGTTTCCTTGTGCTTGGTGTCACTGTGCATATGATGTGTGGGGCTTTGGAGCCAGTCCCTAGGAATACAGGTTATGTGTACAATGGACAAAAGCAAGTCTCTCTGAGTTATTGATGCTGTCAGGCACTCAAGAATAAGGAGAGGACTGTTAGTGACATTTTGTTTCTGTTCAGGCCTTGATGGGGCAATTGGTGTTTTATGATGGCACAGCTGATAATATTGCTGGGTCTGTTTTCTGCGTAATGGGGTTTTCCCCATGCATTTTGGGGTTCTGCAGGATTGAGCTGGATAGACAGAAGCGAGAGCTGTGGAAATACACCATTGAGAATGCATCCATCCAAGTGCAGCAAGAGGAGGAGGAACGTGAGCAGCGTGTGTTCAGAGATGTAAGGACTGGCCTCTGTTGATTATATTGGCTAGTCGTCCTGATTTGACCAAGGGAATAAAGACCTTCAACTAGACATAATTGTTAGAGCTACAAAATGAATGTCGCTTGCAGCGAGTTTCATCATGTTCAGTGATACAAGAACTCCAATAAATACTCCCTGACTGCTTCATTCCTTAAACTAGGTTGAGGGCCTTGTCTTTTTGCCACTGGTAAGCTTGTGTTGGCTATTGACTGTAGTCGATAGCAGGAGCTGATGGAAGAAACCATCAATAGTGTCACCTGCCAGTGGTTTTTCTTCCCTTTCAAGCAGTGGGCAAACTCGTTCATTGGGTTTCCTCCTGCTGCCTGTATATTTCCTGAATGATTTCTCATTACCCATAATGTTCCAGGATACTTGAGATACTCATTTTGTGCCTTGACCTTTTTTAATTGTCTTTTTGCCTGTGGCAGTCTATAAGGATGCTTAGTCTGTTTTCATTTTTAATTTTAGTTTGTACAGTTCCTTATTGGTTTTGTGCCAATTAGGAAATCCTGACCTAGATACACTAATCTCCCATTATGTCACATAAGAACTGCTGATTCTTTGGAGCTTCTTTTTACCTCATATTGACCTTTGATGAGGTTTCTTCTGAAGCTGGAGTTTCATGCAGTGCTAGCAGTTATGCATCTTTTGTTCTATTAAATTCTTACATTCTCTGTATCTACTATAAAAGCAAAAAACTGTTAGCTGAGCCTGTCAACAGTTTAAGTTGGTTTTAAGTTACATATCCATTACATTTTTTGCAGTAATATAAGTAAAAACCTATAATCAAGAAGACGCTCTAATCCACTTGTTCTGTGTTTTCAGCTGTACAGTCGACACAAGGAGTACCTCAGTGGTCTTGTAGGCTCAGAATTTGAGATGGTGAGTACCAGCAGCACTCAGCAGGGACCTGGAGCCCTGCGGCCTTTGCAGGCTGTTCACATGGCTGACTTCTGTACCAGTCTCCAAAGATTGTGTTGTTCTGGGGTTGTGTTGGCAGCTTTTACCTCATGGCCTCCTACTGAAAATTGGGTTGAAAGAGTATGATTGCAATGGATATGGGGACTGCGAAGGTCCAACATGCATCTGTCAGACCTGTAGCAGAGCATGCTGAATGCTGCAGTCTCAGTGAGACTGCATCCATTGTTTGAAGGTCTTTGACTGTAATAAAACAGAAAGAGGATTTGTATCTTTTGGGATAGAGATTGCTGTTAACTTCTTGAATATCAAATGTATCTGTGTCCCACTTTGTTCAAGTAAACAGCTCCTCCCAACCTTCAAACTCACTAAATTTTTCTTTTCTCATGCACAGTTTTCTTGCTCACTAAGTTACCTAGGCTGCAGCCTTTTTTTTTTTTTTTTTTTTTTGCTAAAGTATTGTTTGCCGAAGTAGGAAAGTTGTTGTACTCTTTCCTGCAGCTAGTTAAGCTAAGTGTGTTTCAATTTGTCCTATGGATTTTTGGCTTTGTTATTTTGGTTGTTGTTATTTTTTTCATACTCCTGAGCATATGCAAGAACACTACAGGAGAACCAGGACTATGATTTTATGATTTTTGCAAGTGACTTCTCACTACATTTTTATATCCATCTAGAAATCTGTAGATCTGCTTTACAGAGTAGTGAATTCCTGCAGTACAGGAATTTGGTCTTCATAGGGAGCCTCTATCCAGAGGGACTCCTGACTTCTGGAAAGGATGACAGGTTGATGCAAGAAGTGATGATTTCTCCCTGACCAGCAAAGCAAAGCATTCAAGTACAAATGTCTGTAGGATATCCATGTGAGACCCTGAAGGGGGGGGAACTGAAAGAGGTTCCACCAGTGGTCTCTAAGCCCTTAATCTGCTTGTTTCTACAGACTCTTCCTGGTGCATTGCGTCTTTTTGTGAATGGAGAAGTAGGTGAGTCCTCATTATGAACAGTAACTGTAGGGGCAAATCTGGGTATACTGGGATGGCTGAGGCTATGAAAGGTCTAAAGATTTTTGGTTCACAACCTGGTCTAGAGTAGGTGATTCTCTCCCTAAAATTCTTTACTTACTCCCCCTTCTCCACTGTTTTTGCAGACAAGTGGCATTTACTGATTGGAGGTTTATAAATACTGCAGCTTTTCTAGGAAGACAGAGTTCTGAATAAAAGACAACAGATAGGGGAATTAACAGACATGCAAAGAAGGCAATTAATTTTGTGATCTCTGTAATCTGGTTAGTTATATGTGGATAGGCTAGTCTTGAGAAAATCTTTTCTGAGGTCTTATTCTTTTACTTCAAAGACCTTGCCTTTTCCCAGCTTCTAGCAGTAACTGGTTGTGCTGAGGTTATTTGTGATGCCTCTCTCAAAAGTCTTCAGTGTGTAATGGAGGAGTTAGTGTGGAAGTTAGCTACTGAAATTCATTCTCTCTTCTCAGTTTCAGCTCAAGGCTATGAGTATGACAACCTCTATGTTCATTTCTTCCTGGAGCTGCCTGACCGTGAGTATTCATGCTTCCAGCCATATCACAATGATTTAAGGAATAAAGCATGCTTAAGCTAGTCAGTCAGATCAGCTTTGCTAAAAGTTAGTAAAAGGTAATGTAGGGTCTGAGATCTAAATAGAAGTCTCCAGAGCTAAAAGTGCAGAACTCGGTGGTTTGAACTAAACTGACATGTTTGAATATGTCAGCATCTTCCCCTCTTGTCCCTTCCAAATTTGGCTGGATTTGGTCCACAGACTTCTTAACCAGAGGTGATCGTTTCCAGCAAACTACCCCAGGTTCATTCCTGATGCTGCAGAGAAAAGCCTTCCTGTCTTTTCTGCCTCAGCAATGACCTTGTCTGATTTCACTGCCCAGCATTGTGTTTTTATGTTTTGTGTTGACACTGATGTATTCAGCTTTGACTGATAAATAAGCTTCCCAACACTAACATGCACGTCCTGCTATGTGTTTAATCCCCCTGAAGCTATGGCCCTGGCTCCCTTCTGGTTATACCCTGATGTTTGCTTGAGATGCTGCTTTTGCTTCTATGTGCATTTCGATAAGGTTCTACCATTGTCCAGAGATGGAGTTGGTGCTCTCATATGTCCAGGGTGTTCTGGAGAGCACCTGGAACAAGATGGGGCAGGATGCCCCTAGGGAAGTTCAGTGTGGAGGAACATCTGGTTCTGACTTTCTCCTTTGAGCTGCTCTGGTATATGAATCATTCCTCTTACCCAAAGTATTCACCCCCTGTGCTCACATTCTCTTCTCCCAGACTGGTCAAGCCCCGCATTCCAGCAGCTATCAGGAGTGACACAGACCTGTGCCACCAAGACAGAGGATTGGGTAAGGATGCTTTCAGACCTGCAGAGCAGAGTTTGAACAGTCATTCTCTGAACTGAAATGTATAACAACTTACAGATTTATTCAACCAAGATTCTAGCATGATAGCTCCCTTCAAGAGCAGAGCATATTTGGAATCCTCCTTGTTGTTATACTTGAAGTTTTTCATGCTTTTTTTCATGTTTTACATGTTCCGCTGTATTCAAATAAAACATCAGAGCAGTTTCTGGAACCTTACTTTTTCCTTTCTTCTGGCTGATTGCCTTTGGATCTTTGATTTTTGTGTTCTCAAATGTGCAGAGTTAATGGAGAATTGTTCTGGCTTGCCTGAGACTGTCAGTCTCAAAACTGATTTATCAGAATCAACCTTTCTTCCAGCTCTTCTCTGAGAGACAGTAAAATCTGAATTTTATAAAGTTTTAATGTATTAATATAATCAATCAAATTTAATGTATTTTTATGTATTTGATGTGAACTGACTTGCATATTAAAATCATTATCATACAACATTTTGGTAGGACTGTTGTTTGAGGTATTTTGCTTGGCTCCTGTATAGACTGTGGCATTCTGTAATAGTTATGCAAATGGCTGAATGATCATTTGAGGTGTGTTTTGCTCTTTTTCATTATTTTCGTTATTATTATTTTTTTAATTTTAGCCTGTTCTATCAACATAGCAGTAGGATTGTGTGCAGATCCATTGTGCAGTCAAGTGTTTCTTAGTGTGATGAGATTGATCTTGTCTGGATATCATTAGTGCTCTACCATTATTTCTTTTCTCCCTGCTTTCTGTACCCCCTGTGATACCAGTGATGGAACTTTCTCCTCCAGGAATCTGATCTCTGTCCCATTCCTTTTGTAGGATAACGTGGCGTACTTCTGCTACCCCTTCACTTTGGAGATGTTTTTCTCCCAAGAAAATGAATCAGAAGGTACGTCTCCTTGTTTCTCTGAAATATAAAGCTCTGACATCTCTTGGTTGCAGTGTAGGCATCATGCTGTTTGACTTGTTGATGGTCCCTTGCCAAGGTGAAAGGACATCTGTAAACAAAGGGAATCACAGAATTGTAAAACTATAGAATCATAGAATATCCCTAGCTGGAAGTGGCACACAAGGATTGTGTTGTCCAACTCCACACAGGACCACCCAAAAATCAGAGTATATTTCTGACAACGTTGTCCAAATGCTTCTTGAATTCCAGCAGGCTTAGTGCCATGCCACTTCAGGGAAACGTTGCTCAATCAGAAGATGTTCACCCCATCACCGCATAAGCTCAGGACACATACTAAGTTTGCCCTCCCCAGCAATGTGTTAGTATTTGTATGTATTCATTGACATTGTTCGGCTTCCAGGTTGTAGTCAGCTTCATCCATATGCAAAACTACTTGGGTCTTAGCATGTCTGTCTCAGAATGCCTGACATGCTGGTCTGCATTGCCGTGCATGTTGTACTGCATAGAGCAGTGGAAGAAATGGGCCTATTTTTGTACACAGCTAAAACTATGTGCTGAATCTTAAGTTAGTAGACACACTCAGTGACCTGTATAATCTTCATATTGTCTATGTCACTTTGAAATTTCCATCTCTATTTTAGGCTGGACTTCTCTGCTGCTTTTTTCTACTGCTTCATTGTGTTGCTACTGTTTCCTCACCAACCCCTCTGCTCTGTGTTTTGCAATCACCAGGGACAGCTTTACAGCATGCCTGCCACTTGAATCCAGTGTATGCATTGGATTTGAGTATTCAGCCAACACTTCGGATTGGAGTATTCAACATTAACAAACTTTCAGCCTAGAATAAATATGATGAGTTTGTTTCACCATGGAGAAAATAAATGAATGCTTGGAGGCGGGTAGGGCAATCCAAGTTAATAATCCCCCAACAATGATGAGAAAGATCAGAGATAAAAAGGTTCCCATGTTTTGCATCAATTGTTTGCAGAAGAGTGTCTTGTCTGCCCAAACGATAGAGAAACCAGTTTGGACTTGCTGTCAGAGACTCATCAAAACAAAGAATTTTCCCAAATTTTTAGCATCTTACCAATAATTCTGTTTTCAGTCTCAAGTCTGAGGGTTCAGCTTTTATAGGGGAAAATAATCACCCATACACCTATGTCTGTCATTTTAGGAGAAATACAGAAAGGGCTCCTTGCTAGCGGAGTTAGTCATTTAGTATTTTTTTCCCCGCTGTGATAATCTCCCTCTACAGCTTTTAAAAAGTTGCAATCTGCTCCTTTTCCTTGCAGACTGTCTCCCTCAATGGCCTGTTCTCTACTTTGAAGTTCTGTCCCTTGATTTCTGGCAGAGATACCGTGTTGAAGGGTATGGTTCATTGGTGCTGCCAGCATCTCCAGGTAAAACATCCTTGGGACATTATGTTAAGTGTCTAGGGAAATGAGAGTTGAATGGTTCTCTTGGGAATGGATGCATCCCGTCCTGGCGTTGCTTTACCTTTGCATACTGAAGGGAATAGCTAGCTGTCTGTGAGGCAGCAAAGAGAGATTTTATGTATCGTGCACTGTTATGCCTTGTTGAGAAGCATCATGTGTTGCTGTCCTTTCTCCTTCAGTGGTTCCATTGCAAAATTGCATGCTATGATGCTTTTGTGTAGTGTTGCATGTCCATCTTTATACTAGCAATAGGCCCCCTTTGTCCCAGATGGAATCTGAGGCTCACAACTAGACTGACATTCTCATGTATTAATAAGTAGATGCTCCTCATAGGCAAGGGTAGTTTCAATGCTGTCTGTGTGACTGGGGCTTGCTTATTGGGAAGGCATTGGGGATCAGTAGGTATCCATCTACTGTGATGACCTCTGTGACTTCACATTGTTGGTCAGAGCAGCTAAACTGTTCTGCTAAATTGTTCTGTTGTCTAAATTGTCCTGTCCTGTGGTCAGGTCTCCATATACTCACCATCCCTACCTGGCGCCCTGTGGAACTGGGGACTGTTGCTGAACTGAGGAGATTTTTCATTGGTGGATCTCCTGAGTTAGAGGATATGACCTATGTCAGGATACCAGCAACCTTCAAGGTAGGCTCAACTGCAGGACATTGCTCTTGCTGGGAAAAGGTGGATTACGCTCTTGAAACTGCAGAATGATAAACTATCCGAAGTTGGAAGGGACCCACGAGGATCACTGAGTCCAACTCGTGGCTCCACACAGAACTACCTGAAAATTAAGCCGTATGTCTGAGAGCCTTGTGCAAGCACTTCTGGACCTCTGGCAGTTTTGGTGCTGTGACCGCTTCCGTGGGGAGCCTGTTCCAGTGCCTGACAAGCCTCCTGGTGAAGAGCCTTTTCCCAACAGCTCCTGTCTGAGCCTGCCCTGAGGCAGCTTCCTGCTGTTCCCTCAGGTCCTCTCACTGGGCACCAGAGAGAAGAGATCAGTGCCTGCCCCTCCGCTCCCCCTGGTGAGGAAGATGTAGGCCGCCATGAGGTCACCCCTGTGCCTTCTCTTCTTTAAGCTGAACAAACCAAGCCACATCGAACCCTCTTCTTACGCCATGCCCTCTAGGCCTTTCATCATGTCTGTTGCCCTTCTTTGGGACCTCTCTGAGAGGCTGATGTCCTTCTTCTCTCATGGCTCCCAAGGTAGCCCACAGTCCTCAAGGTGAGGCTGCACCAGTGCAGAGTGGAGCAGGACAAGCACTCCCCTTGACCGGCTAACTCTGCTGTGCTTACTGCAGCCCAGGATACACTTGGTCCTTTTGGCTGCTAGGGCACACTGCTGACTCAGGTTCCACTTGTTGTTGACCATAACCCCCAGATCCCTTTGCATAGGGCTGATCTCCAGCCTCTCATTCACAGGCTGTACTTATATCCATGGCTGCCCCATCCCAGGTACAGAATCTGGTGTCTCTTGACTTCAGATGTCTGTGGACAGTTTAGACTGGACTTGAACAGATACTGTTGTGGTCATGTCCCTCTGACTAAATAAATGGATCCCCTTTGATACTTGTGAGTAAGACAAGAATGGGCAAACCCTGAGATAGAGCTCTCTGCCTTTTGAGGTGTGTGTAACCTAGAGAAGTGGTTGTATGTGTTCCAAAATCTTGCCTTGCCCCTGCTTGTACTGTCCTTGTCTGAAAATTGTCTGTCAGGTCACCATTTTTTTTTAATCAAGTATGAACATTGTCATGTGTTTTTGTGAGGAACATGGGCTATACTGCACTTGGAAGTGAGTTGCCTGCAGTGATAAGCTGATGGGTGTGAGGCAGGCAGAAGTTTCACATTAAGAAAGTTGCAGTGGTGCTTGCTGGTGTAATGAGCAAGTTAGTATTAAGTGGCTTTGAGTGAGAATAAGCAGTTGAAACCTTCCTTCAGCACTGCACTATCAACTTCCTAGTGTTTATGTCCTGCTCTCAGCAAAGCCTGGTACTATCTGCCCTTCTCTCCTACCTCACTTTCTGTGTGAAGCGGGACTAGAAGAGACTCTCTGCCTGCAAGAGTGCTTGCTTCTGGTGAGGCATGCTCATTTTTGCCAGGGTCAGCCTGCTGCAACAGGTTGCAGGCTGTTACGAGAACTTTTGCTGTCTTTGCAGGGAGAGCGTCTGAGCCGCTTTGGTTTTCACACAGAGACAACAGGGAGTGTCACGTTCCGGCTTTACTGCCTGCAGCAATCCAAGTGAGTGCTGCAGTGATTGCAAGTTCCATCTTCACAGCAGTGTTCTTCCAGCCCTGACTTCAAACTGTACTTCTGTGCAGAGCCTTTCTGGAGACCAGTGCCTCGAGGCATCGCATGCAGAGTGTACTAGACCGGCTTGGAGGCTTCAGCCAGCAGAGCTCTGTCTACAATGTTTTGGGTAGGGCTTTTAGTCTCATTCTGCCTGGGGAGCCTCGGGCTCACTTTTGCCCCCTTTTTACAGAGTGGGCAGAGAGAATCCATTGCTGTGGGGTTGATTGTCTCCCACTGTGAGCTCTCTTGGGTCTGAGTCCATAGCAGAGGTTAAATGTTCTGACCTGAAATTGCTGGAAACTTGAGGAGGCATCAGCCCTCAGCAGGCAGGAGGGATAGTCACTCCATGACGGCAAAGCCTAGGCTGGGTTGCCTGGTCATTCCTGGCACAAAACATAGCTTGTGGCTGTGGTGCACAGGCTCTGTCTCTGATTCCCTTATGCACAGAGCTGGAAGTCAAGAGAGCAGCAAGATCCTGGTGCTTTGTTGGTGGTACTTAGTGAGACTCCTATTCTGAGAAAGATGATGTTCATTGGGCGGACTCATCCCTCCTCTTCTCTGAGGCTGTCTGATGCATTCTGACTTGCTGTCACCTGCTGTGTTGCAGAGGCTTTCCAGAAGGCACGGTGCCGGATGCAGGAAGCACGTGAGAGCCTTCCCCAAGACCTCATCAGCAGCTCTTTCTACACTGTGCACCAGACACAAGAACCGTGATTGACCACCTCCACTGCCTCTAGCCTGGGAGCACTTAGCATCTTCTCTCTGATACAAGCTTCCCTTGTTCAGGAGGAGTCCCAAGGCCAGTGTCTGCAAGCTTTTTGATTCCTTTCTTTTGCAGCTTTCTCTGGATGGGGGCAGGAGTCTGCCTCACATCTAGATCTAGAGTCTTTGTGTTTCCATACGTATTTGTGGAAGAAACCCTGTTTTTTCAAGTCATTTTGTTACCAGGCCCTAACGGTACAGCTAATTGTTCCCATTTCTGAGGAGCAGACTAAAATGGGACATGGGACCTGGGAAACCTTTAACACATTTTCAAGTATTGAACAGTAAGTGATTAGAAAACATTTCAAGTCTACTTGACTTGGTAAATGTACTTTTCTTCTTAAAGAAGAGGTTACTGTTGAAGGTCAAGGCATGAATATTGTTTGGTATTTAATTAAATGAATAGTTGACTTCTTGAGAAATGCTGATAATTGTTGTCAGGTCAATCTTCAGTAAAATGAATCTGTCCAACTGTGTTTTTAAGATTTATTCATTCCTAGAGAGAGGTCTCTGCCACCATTGTATGAAATCAAAGCAAAGTGATGTACGACAGATTCAGAACTGGTGAAAAGGGTTACATTCTGTATTTCTTTGTGTCTGAAATTGCTGGCTCTTGCGTCTCTGTATCAGTTAGCAGAAGGACTTCAAGAATACAACTGACAACATGTGTTCCCTTTAGCTCATAGAAGAACTTTGGCTGGAGCTGGACAGTTTGCAGACAATGAGAGCAGATTGTAATGTTTGCACAAGAGCTGAACTTTGAACTGTTCAAGCTATTCTTTTTAACCGTGGTTCATTGTATCAGCTCTGCTTGCAACTCACTGCTTTGATTGTTTTTACCCAGGTTCTTCTCCTGTTCTTTTCTCAGCCTATTTCATTCCCCTATTTTTGTTCCTCTCTCAAATCCATGTGAACGAAGCTACCTGCAGACTGACAATGCTGCATAGATTTGTACACAAGTCACATCTCCACATGTTCTACTCTGCTCCCAACAGAAGGGATAAGAAGAAAACTCTCAGGATGAGATCATGGATGTATCTGTAAAGCTAGAAGTCACAGGCAGAATAAGAAATAGGAACTGGCTTTCTTTTGCATGTTCCTCACTAGCAGGGGATGTGAGACTCATGGTTGCAGCCATGTGTGTGACTATTAGAACATCCCACTCCTTCCTCATGCTCCATTGGTATCTTCACCTCATGCTTTACGTTTTGATCTTGTTATCAGCCTTCACTAGAAAAATCAAACTCCCCAGTTTGTTGGTCTTTGTTTTTTCTCATAATTCCTGGCAGAATTGTCTGGCAACTTGAAATGTACCTGGTAATTTCACTTACAAAAGAGGACTTTTGCTCATCTACCTTCCCTGCTGTCCCTGCTTTTTCATGGAAGAAACTACCAGAATGTATTACATAGCTTGGCCTGTTAAGCAGAGCAGTGTCCTTGGCCTAGAGCTGGCTGCTGCATCTTGTGCATGAGTCAGATCTCCACTTATGCTTTTTGGTGTGATGTGGCAGATGAGGCATTATAGTTGTGAAGGTAAACACCCAGTTCTATAACAGCAGAATCAAGGCTTGTCAGGGTGTATGAGTGTAGTGGGTTTACGTGGCAAGGTTTTGGTAGCAGGGGGCCATAGGGGTGGTTTCTGTGAGAAAGATCTAGAAGCTGCCCCATGTTTGGGAAGGGCCCCATTGTTTTCCAGAGCTGAGCCAATAAGCGATGTTGTTTTGCGCCTCTGTGAGAGCATATTTAAAAATATGCTCTCACAGAGGAAAAAAATGCTGCACCACACAGCAGCTGGGAGAGTGAGAGGAGTGAGGAATGGCCTTTCAGGCGCCAAGGTCAGTGCAGAAGGAGGGGGAGAGGTGCTCCAGGCACCGGAGCAGAAGTCCGCTGCGGCCTGTGGTGAGGACCATGGTGAAGCAGGATGTCCCCCTGCAGCCCATGGAGTACCACGGTGGAGCAGAGTTCCACGCTGCAGCCTGTGGAGGAGACCACGGTGGAGCAGGTGGCCCTGCACCGATGGAGGCTGCTGCCTGTGGAAGACCCCTGCCGGAGCAGATTCCGGGCCAGACCTGTAGCCCGTGGAGAGGAGCCCACGCAGGAGCAGGTGACCTGGCAGGAGCTGCTGCCCGTGGGGGAGCCAGGTTGGAGTGGTTTTCTCCTGGGGGATGGAGCCCATGGTATGGACCCATATCTGGAGCAGCTCTGGAAGAGCTGCTGCCTGTGGGAAGCCCACACCGGATCAGTTCATCAAGGACTGCATCCCGTGGGTGGGACCCCACAGCACAGGGGACGAGAGTGACCGAGAAGGAGCAGCAGAGAAGAAGTGCTGTAGACTGACCATAACCCCCATTCCCCTGTTCCCCTGCGCCACTCGGGGGGAGGAGGTGGAAGAGGGTGGATGGGGGGGAAGGTGCTTTTGGTTTCTTTCCTTTGTTTCTCACTTCTCTAGCTTGTTAGTAATAGGCAATAAATCTTACTATCTCCTTATGCTGAGTCTGTTTTGCCCATTAAAATAATTACTGAGTGATTTTCTCGTCCTTATCTCAACCTTAGAGCCCTTTTCACATATTTTCTCCTCATTCCTCTTTGAGGAGGGGGAGTGAGAGAGCAGCTGTGGTGGAGCTTGGCTGCCCACTCGAGCAGAACCACGACAATGCGCTATCAGTCTTTAATGATATGGTCACATTTCACAAGAGATTGATTCACTCAGTGCCCAGGATGAAAAGTGTTCAATGAATTTGTAGCCACTCACCTTCTTTTTCTTTTTTTTTTTTTTTTAAATCACAGTTCACTTCATGACTCTGTATGTTTATTGCATGTTTATAAGCAATGCTTAATTTCCTTTAGGGTGTTTCTGTTGTGCTTATCACTAATAGCTGAATCTCATGTATCTGAAACGTGTTTCAGGATTGAGTTACAAGGTAAGAGAATATGCATTTTAGCAGTAAAGTAATAAAACACTATTGAGTGAGATGATGCTGAAGGCTGACCCTGAGAGAATGGGCTCTTCTAATTAGGTGACCATTTCCCCAGCTTGTGCTTGCTGCTCAGAGTGTTTATATGGCAGGATTTGGTGGGTTGAATGTTAAGGTTACACAGAGATACAGTAAGGTTTACATAATTGTACTAGTTTTGATAGTGAAAACTCTGACTAGTATAAAATTTTACGGAAACTCAAGAGCAAAATTTAATAATAAAAATCAGTTACAACCAAATAAATATTCTTCTGAAGCAACACATGGTTAGCAGTGTTTCATCTTCATACTTGCAGGCTCCTTGGCCTGACAGAACAAACTGACTGATGCTTGTAAAAAAACCTTCAGCAAGTGTTCTTCGAATATGCCCTTTTATAAATTAAATTATGTGATTTCCATATACATGTATATGTATAAAAATATCACTGATCTTTTAAACAAAACTGACACCTGGTGCAGGGTTTGTTCTTTGAGCTTGCTGAGATGCCTGGCCAGTTGGAATGGGGGTTGTGTATACACCAGGTATACGTGGATTAAATAACAGGTAGTAGATGGGGATAGATAGGAAGAAGGGGAGGTTGGTGTTTTTCCTCCAATGGTGAATATTTTCCCAGAGGAGTCTCCCTAGAGTTTTCAATGGAGGGGCACGACTGCAGTGACATTTAGTTGAAACTCAACAGGAGAAGAGAGGGGAAGGGACAGAAGTTGTGGGCACACAAAAACTTGGGGCAACAGAGCAGCATGGTTAGTGGGACTGCCCCAGGCACTCATGGCAAGGGAGCCTGGCAGGCTGCAGGATGCTGTGGACTGAAGATAGAGGCTGGAGTGCAGGCAGAGCAGCTGACGCAGGCTGGGCAATGCTGTGGTCTCTGCAGGTGACCTCCGTGTCTAGCAGTGAGACAGGTCTGTGCTGTCTGTGGTGCATGGCCAGCGGTCCCCAGATCTGGTCACATCTGCTGCAGCTGGTTTCTCTTGAGCATCAATGTCTTCTGCCTACAGGATAGACTAGAGCTGTAATGTTCAGCACCAGCCAAGCTTCCTCATGGGCACCTATTGGAGGCTGAATCCTGCAGCCTTAGCAGTGATGTGGTCTGTGTGGGGGCAGGAGCCAGCTGAGAGTCCCTGGGGGTCTTCCAGGCTTTTCATTAAATAAACTATGCAAAAAAAGGGTAATTGAAGAAATGTTGGCTCGGTGGAAGAAAAGGCTGCCAGCAGTTGGCAGAGCTTGCAGGATGCACATCAACAGTGTCTTAGAAAATCCAAAATTGCAGTGTAAATAGAACAGAAAAGGAACATGTAGAAATTAGTCATTTGCATGACTGGAGGAACAACTTTGCACAAAAGTCAGACT